CCAACAAACGAAGAATGAAACGAAGATTCTGCTTGAAAAAGACGTCCCCGATGCTATAATCTCGGACATATGGTTATTCCGGCGCCGAGTGTAAATAAACTTAAAACACACACACACTTTTGTTGAAAACAAAACAAATAAAGTTTCCTTTTAAAAGGAAAGGCTTGCACAGTCGTGCCTTCATCCCAACCCTTTAAAATTGTTTTTTTTTTTTTTGTTTCAATTTATTATGACATTTTTTTTGAATTACGGTATTTGTATATCATAAAGGGTTTATTTAGTTTTTTTTTTTTTTTTTGTTTTTTTTTTTGGAAAACCAAATATTTTTTGTCAAAACAATTTGAAATCTATTCTCTATTGTATAAAACTAATAAAGAAAATGATCAATCGTAAAAATACTAACGTGATACTGAAGGTAAACAAGTGTGAACATTTCATTTCCCCTTTTTCGCAGCGAAATCATTCCTTTCCTTTATAGACAAGTAAATGCACTAAAATACTTTGTTACGTGGTACCAATTAATAAGCATGTATCAATCACAAATATCTGTAGATCAGCACGTGGCAAGGTTAAAGTTACATTAAATAAATATGTAAAAATATTTTGCCGTCGGCCTAAAAATCAAACATTCTACAGTTTCATTAACCTGTTTAATAGTATTGTTGTAAATCTCATCAAATATTGTTCATAAATTAGGATTTTAAACGGGAAACCCCACGGTAACACTAAAGTTCGTATACGAATTTTAACATGCAAATGAAGACTATAATGAGCTCGTGTATGCGCTACGTCACAGTTTTATAGTTGCTATCCGGAACACAGCAAATGTGATATTTTCTTGTGCAAACACACTTTTACCGTTTTAGCTTCACGGTGCACTAAACCAGGGGTTCAGTAAAAGTAATCATCTCGTAAAAAGATTATATTTGTATGAAAACATCCGTTACAATGCGGAAATATACCGTTAAATTATGACTGCCACTTATAGTCATGTTTGTTGATTTAATATTGATGTACGGATGATCCGAAGGCGGAGTTTCTCATGCAAACAGAAATTGTACTTCAAATTTTGCCACAATGAGGTTACCTATTTTTATGCTAATTAAACTTATTTTGGTTGTTCGGACACCAAAATAAGACCTGGAGTCGATATAAAACCCAATTTATTAATGAAATGTCGCTATTTAGTTTTTTATGAAATTTATTAAATGTAACTTTAATGATATGCATGGGCTATTTTTAGATTACCTCACCAAGAAGTTGAATTGCGTTCAGTAGATCTAAATATAACTCGATCATGCGTGGTTTGGTTTTGAAAACGGAACCATTCTCTATTGTATAAAACTAATACAGACAAAAAAAAAAACAATTATAAAAGACACTAACTTTTGCGTCTTGAAAAACAATTGAAACGGAACAATTTCGTTTATAATTTATTACGGTTTAAACCGATAAATCGAGTAAAAATAGAAATCCTATTTATATAAACAAACTGGGATTACCGAAGTAACTAAAATAGCTTAGATTTCCGTCATTCGGAACTGCCTCGGCTATTATCTATAATAACCTCGGAAACAATACGGATTGAAAGTAGTTCTATCACGTGGTTTCAGATGTAAACAGAAACAGGGGTAATGTTAAACGAATGTATATATTTGACATCTAATGTCTGTTCCGATACTCTTTTGCTTGAAAATATGTCTGACAGCAATTTGTAATTTAAATATGCCTTTAAACAAATCCGACTAAATGTCAACAGGTTGGTTTTTTGTACTTTCGGTTTCTGCAACCATAATAATAAATATATAAATAATGTATTATTTGCTTTTGTACCTATGGATTCACTTATTTAAGGTGGACTTTTACTACATTTATTGGAAATAAACTTGTCAACAACTCCCAGCATTAAATTACTATTTGTTTACATGTTTAGTTTCTTAGCGTAGGTTAGACCGAAATACCGCATCCGTTCTGTGTATTCATACTATTGTGTTCGAGGTCCTTATCCGAAGACTGACGGAAAGGGCCGAGTAGTTGCGATTGAGATTTCCGTAATATTACTTCGTCTGATTCCGCAGTATGACGGAATCGCCCGAATTGTCACGGTTGCAATCGGAACTACATCGGGTTTTTTAAAAGCCGGGGAAAAGTGGGCGGAAAGGCCGAAAAGTTGGAAATTTGGGACCCATTGCAGCGGTTTTTCCCGGTTCCCAAACATGCAAACCCAAAAGATGTTTAGCAGGAAACCACCCTAAAACCGGGGAAAAAGTTTTCCAAAAAGAAAATGGCTTGCAGCCGTGGCTGCAAGCCAAAAAACAACAAAACATTTTCTGTAGTAATTTTTCAGGTGTTGTAAAATGAATACGAAATTCCTCTTATGCCGCCGATTATTTTTTGAACACAAACATATAAGTTCTTTTTTTTATTTTTCAAATAAACTTTAATCACTTTAGCGCGCGCAAATATCGTTTTCAAATTTAAGTTTCGTAAGATATGTTAATTACTTCCCGATGCTCGACTGTAAGTCATTCGTATATATATGCGTTTTTTTTTCTTTTCTTTTTCTTTTCTTTTTTAAAGCTTCTTATTCTTTAATATTTTTTATGTATCTCATAATCTGTATTGAAAATTTGAATTTTATTACACATGGACTATCAAATTATGATGCGTTGCCCTAGAATTGAATAAACTTTCTAATTACACAATACGGGGTCATTCATTTGATTGAAGACTGATCTTTGCGTCTTTCTCTGAAAAAATTATTACCTTGTTAAAACATATTTGACCACATATTTCTGTCATTTATCTGTTCACTTTACTTCCGATTTTTGTTGTACGGAAACACATGTTTCTATTTGTGTTTTCTAATCAATTCGAATCTATAATCAGTTTATTGGGATCACCACCGGTACTACTAATATGTACTTTGGTCATGTTTTTTACCCCAAATATTTGAATGTTTCTATTGGGATTAAAATGAGCGTAGTTAACTTAACAACTGGTTGTATAAATCCCAGACCTGTCTAATTCTAATTTTGAGATTAGTGGGTATATTAAGACTTTCTCTACAAAATATTCCTAAACAAAAGAGCACATGTTTAAATTTATTCCTATACAAATAAAAGATAAGAGTAGGGATCTGTCAATTGCCAGACATATTTTTACAAGATACTTTTATGTTAAAAGCTTTGATTAATGAATAATGTAAGATGAAAATATAAGTATTGCTTTTTTATTTTGCTAAAGTAAAATAAAATCGTGTGCTAAAATTTTGTCGGAGGGTCCTTACGGGTTTTGTAGTTAAATAGTTTTTTTTCGGCGATAATGGTTCAAGAATATAATGTTTTAAAACTATATGTTCATCACCATCAGTGAATTTTTAGTTAAATGTATGCAAAATATTTACTAACAGCTATATGATATAGCGGTTTATGAGCGTTTTCCGCGTACAACCTCCTGGGGTGTACTAATAAGTTAGTTTTCCTTTGTTATCACGCAAGCATGATCCATGTCTCTGATGTAAGCGACAGTTTACAATCATTTGTCTTTAAAAAAATATTAAGGACTATTAATGGTTTATAACATCAAAAGAACATGCGTGATATTGAGAATACGGTGTTGCAACGTTCTAGTTAATGACCCGTCATAAACAGTTGGTCGCTGCGTAGTAATTGGAAAATTGTTATCAAAAATAATAAAGAATATTTGCCACCAAATTAAAGCATATACTTATAAATTTTCATTTATGCTTTTTGTTAAAAAAATATTGATAAAGTTATTATATAGAAGGGTTTTCATACCAAAACTATTTATGACTAACGTACGTATGCCTAAACCTGATTACCGCGGCAGTATGACGTCACGGAGTAGTGATTTTGAAAAAATAAACAACTGTTTCAGAGAATTATTATCTTTAAAAATTGCAGACATTAAGTTAAAGAATGAAAACATTTTCATATTTAATAATTCATAATTGTAAATGTCTGTGATGAGTGATGAGTCAGCTTAAAAAATCAAGGTACTATTTTTTGACCTGATTACCGCGGCAGTAAGATTTGACAAATGGTATTAACATTGGGGAGGCATAGCCTCCCCATAGCCTCCCCAAAAATAACGACGATTCTCAAGGAAAATATTGTGCGAATTCTAAGGCACAAGATACTTAGCTTTTTCCATAATAGTTAGTATCTATGTTAGCTAAGATTATAACCTATGAATGCCGTTACTTTTACGATTGTCTACCGTTCACGTTACTTTATCAAACTATTCATGCTATTGCATGTCCTCTTTAATACCACGACGTAAGTTCCTGGTATAATGACTGCTAAAATAAACCTTGGTAATACATTATTTTCCTATCCCTTTGTTTACAGCTGTGAACTAACTAAGAATCATAAATATTACAACAAAGACGACAAGACTCTGTATCATAAAATATCACAACCTAGACAGCAAAAGTCAGTGCCATAAAATATTACAGCAAAAAAGACACCACTCTGCACTATAATAAAGTATTTCAGCCGAGACGACAAAACTCATGACCATAAAGTATCACAGCCAAAACGACAGAACCCAGTGACATAAAATATTACAGCTAAAACGAGAAGACTCAGTGACATAAAGTATTACAGCCAAAACGACAGGACTCAGTGCCATAAAGTATTACAGCCAAAACGACAAAACTCAGTACTATAAGTATTGCAGTCAAAACGTGAAGACTCTGTACCATTAAGTATTACAGCCAAACATTAAAACTATGTATCATGAAGTATAACAGCCGAAACGATTAGATACGGTGCCATAAAATATCACAACCAAAACAACACGTGTCCGTAAGACTCAGTACAGCCAAGCCGACACTACCTTACTCTAAATCATATAATTATAATATCCTGTCGTCTAGTCTGGTTCCACCAGGTTTGACTTTCAGAGTATATGCGTTTAAAATTTAAAAATAATGCAGTTTAAAAATAATAACAGACGATATTTTTCTAGCATACCATTCATGTAGACTGTTAGAGCTTGTGGCCCACCACATCTCTCCTCGCTGTTCCCGGGACATTCATGAATACAATTATCTTCAGTTCTCTTGAACTCTCCATTGAATGTGTCGAAGCAAAAACATTTCTTGTTCTGTAATGTAAGAAGGTAAAGCGAACTTTCTCATTTACATCAAGAACTGTTTTGATGTAAGCGTAACTTTGCTAAGAACTAAAAGTTCAACATTTTTTGTAAAACATTTGATATTACTACGTACTTAAAATCTATAACTGTTTAATTTTTCAAGATCGGGCTACATTTTTTAGATATGTAATTTCTTTATTCTAGAGACCTCTGTGTTCGAGAGGCTCATGTCGTTAACAACGAATCAGTGGCCCCTCTTTCTGTCTGTTCCAATTTAGTCAGGATCTATGTGAGGAGGTTTTCCGGCAAGCTTACTAATGTTACTGAAGGTCAGTGATTGTAATTAGGTGCCCACTTGTCCTCAAAATAATTGCCTGGGTGAGCACTCGAAGTCTTCCGCCGTCTGTATAGCTAACATATGATAACATACAATGTTAGAATTGTGTACATGTAAATACGACAGAATTAATTGTACACATAGTACCTGAAGACCAAAATAATTCGTTGTATTGCAATGGTTCAAACACTTCTTCAGTTGGTTTCTCTTTAACTCTATATAGTCATAGGACCCGTTGTAACTATAGCAACCTTGTAAAATATAAATACACGAAAATTAGGTCAAAATCGAATGAAATTATGTGTTAAACTTTATATTAAGTTACAAGCAGCCGTGGTACACACCTACGTCCGACAATAAACATTGTAATGCTTGAATAAAACTGTGGACCGTTAGGTTAAAATGTTTTTGTTTTTTTCCGCTATATTTTTTAAACATATTTTTAGAAAAATATCTGGATTTAGCAAAGCAGATTTGAAATACCGATGTCGTAAATATTGTTCAGCATTCGTTCAGCAGTGCCATTGTTACAGGCTCAATATATGCGGTGCGGGGGATAAAAATGTGCAACCTGACTAGGACACGAACCCTGGAGAACCTCAAAATACTGTTCCGCGGCTCTACCGACTGAGCTACCCGTGCACTTATACATCTTCTTCCCTAAATAGTGCACAGTTTTGAACCGTGACATACTCCCCAGCTGTATTGAAATTCGTCCTCGAATTTCTCAGGGTTACAGAGCAATGCTTATTAAACTCTGAGCTATATCCAGTGACGGCCAAATGTCACAGGGTGAGAAAAAAGTGCAGCCCTACAAGAGACTCGAACCCGTGACCCTAGGAATATCGTTCCTCAGCTCTACCGACTGAGCTATCCGGTCGCTTACACATATACTCCCCTAAATAGTGAAAAGTTGTGAACCGTGATAGTTTAAACTTCAAATAGCTTCTAAATCAAACATTTCATTTTCTTAGTTCTTATAGTCTGATTTTATTGACCTGTCAATTATGAATACATTATAGCACTCATTTAAATATTCGAACCCACTTCGGTTTATTCCGTTTATTTCACGAGAATAAATATGGAGTATATCACTTACGTTTGGAAAACTCTCACTAGATTAATGTAGGTTCTTGTAACATCCGCAATAGCACAGTCAGTTAAGTGATTACCTAATGCATGAGGGGTCCAAGGTTCGACCCCCCTTTTTGACATTCTTTTTAGACTTATTCTTTCTTTATTTTTAAGTATATTTTAATGAAAATGGTCAAGCGCTTGAAATTTGTCTACACGGATATGAACCAACTAAGAAACACTGAATTGTCACATTTTATATTGTATAATTACATTTATTGATTTTAATCGGAATGAATTTTCAGTATTAATTCTTAAACATTGTTATATACAAATGTATAGTATTTACAAAAAGGTGCAAAACATATAAAAAACGCAACAACCATAACTTAAAAAACATGTTGAAAATAGTTATGAATAAAAAAAAATAAAGGACATACTCTGTCTCGATCCTACTACACGTTAAACATTCAGATAAAATATACCAGTGATTTACCCTATTGCACTATAACGGTCAGTGTAACTAATTCATAAAAACAAGATGAATTTAATCACATCTTACTACGCACATCTCACGGAATTTACCGAATATTAATATATTCTGTGCATTGACCGTGTAATCAGTATGGAATTGACAGGTTAATAAAATCAAACAATACCACAAATCATGAATACCAAACACATGCTTATTTCAAATACCTATCAGCCACGCCCACGGTGAATAATATCTTCCCTCCCACACTGTTTCAATGGCTGATGTTAAACGTAAAATATCTGCACTCGTATACGTTGTCACTAATGTGCCTCCGTCTTGTGAACATGTTGACTGTGCCTCCCACCACGACTTCTTTTCCTCGTGGAACACGAGAATCCCGTGCACTGAAACATCAATAACTTACTAAAATCTTTTATACTTTCCTTATTTCTGTACAATATCGAGTGTTGGATATTTTCAATGAATATTTTAATATTATTATGCTAAAGTAGTTGAATATTTTCATACAATCTTCAGTTTTTTTATAGTTTTTTTTTTATTTTAGTAATTGAAAAACATTAAAAAAAATTTATGTTGAAAGAAATTGTTAAATATTTTTTACGTGTTAATAACTTATTTTAATAAAACTATTTTTATAATTTTCTTTTTGATTTTTTATTTTTTTTGATAGTTGTTTAAGAGGCTAAGCTATTTCACTGACATAACTTACCAATAGTGAACAAAAATGCAAGAAAAACAACGTCTCTTCTTCTAAATGTCTGAAAATAAAATCCAAACTTTCAAACAAGTAATTATATTTTACAAAATATGTTACTGATGTTTGATTATATGATTGCCTGTCTAGACGAAATTAAAAGAATATGAGCTGTTTACCATAGATGGAACAACTGAAGATACTTTCTTTTTCAGGAACATTTACACGTGTAAAAAAGGGATCATTATACCATATATAGTTAAACGTGTACCATTACATCTTGTAGAATCTCTGCGAGCAAATGAAGATGGGTTTCTTTTGCTTTAATTAAATTCAATTCTATACATTTTAATATTACCTATTTTTCTAACTCGGTAGTTCGGCAGGAACATAACTAGTATATGCAAACAAACTTCAATTTTTCATTTTGATATTCCAAAAATTGTTAATGGACCAAAAAATGTAGCCGGACAAGCCCATTTAAGTGATTAAGCAAATAAATAGTGGATCGGATGTTGAATTTTATCATGTAAATACATCAAAGTTATGTCAGTAATTTGGTGTTTTACGTTTTTGTCAAAGGGGATAGCGGCGGTGTTAAATAATTGTACATTAAACTAAATATTATAATTTCATTTTCCAATGGCTTTTACGTGAAAGATATTAAATTAATTGTTAAAAAAATTAAAGAATAGAAAAGATTTTCCAATATATGAATATATGATATTTTGGATAGTTTTCCTATTTCATTTGACTTGAAATTATCGATGAACTAGAATAAAATTCGATAATGCTCATCAAAGAGAGCGTGGGGGGGGGGGGGTGGAGAGAGAAGTTACAGTTATGTTACATGTTAATTAATCAACACCCTGGGTACCCGACGGTGATGTTCTCAGGCACGGTTACATGCAAAAACGGACCGCGCTTTCAGAATCTTATCGGTTTATATATTCGGGAAAAAAAACAGAAGAAAAGAAATCGATCATGACTAAGTAGTCATTGTAACAAAAGTATTTAACATCATTAGATATCTGAGTGACGACAACACAACGGATGAGCTTTGTGTAAATAAATTAGATACTTCCTTCTTCCTCATTTCAAGGTATTTCAACTCAAATATTCGGCCAGTTTCGTCCATTTTCGTACTCCCTTAAAAGTGGTTGACAAGATTTAAATATAACTCTGGGTCAAATCAACGGTTACCTGATATTCATAAGACACGGAAAGATGCAAACTAGTGTTTTTTCATAAACTGGCCAACTGAATGACTAATTAAATGCCCCCAATACGTATACTCATTGCAAGCGTTCTCGCACAATTTAATGTAAATTTATTTTCTGTTGTTATTATGTTTTAATTAATACTTAATACCATCCTTATTGAAATCCGTGGATAAGCAACTTTGGTCACGTGACCACAAAAGTCAACGCACACGGCCAAAATAGCTCGGCTGAGGTAAGTTTTTTAGTGATTATTTTTCTATCGAGCCAATTCAAATTATGCTACATAGCCTACCGACCGCGGCAGATCCGCTGCTTTCTAAAAATGTATTTTGTTTCGTCCAACGTTTTGTATTTTATGAGATCATTCAAACAATGTTTACAATTTGTCGATGACAACGTACACACTATTGTGTAAAAGTGTTGATGAAAACTTAATAAACGATACGCATGTCAGTTCTAAGTTAAATTTCAGGTCTTAAAATATATAAGAGAATGTTTTAATGAAAAAAGAACTGGTTTCCTGCTGTCTTTTTTTGTATTTATTTAAAAATTGACCAACTTACAGAAATGTCAACGTACACATACTGTCTAGAAAGTGTCAACGTACACACTTCCAATTTAGTTTGATAGTGGTCTGAACATGAGGCTGCAACTTCGAAATAGGTGGCTTTTTCCAAAAAATTAAGATTGCCCTCTCAAACTGTATATAATTACTATTTTTTTTACAAAGGAAATAGTTTAGAGTGCATTCATTTCGTCGCAAATAAGCTTAAACAACCTTTAACTTTTTATGTTATTTATTTGAACTTATGTTTTTTAGAAGACAAATTTCCAGTTACTCAGACTGCTTAATGATTAGCTGAAACAGCCGTTTTTATATTTTATACTGTATTAATTAATATAGATCGTATTACAATATAGATCGTATATACAGTCATCTTAATAACGTAAACAGCCAGGATAAGGGTCTCTTGCTCAAACAACTAGTGCCTTCCGTAGCAGCAAAAGGGTCCAAGGTTGACGATGACGCCGAGTTACAATTTTATATTATCGGTTTTTCTTGATCCCTATGACTACATCACTAATGTTCTATTAACTTTCTATTTTCAAGAATATATCTACTTGTACTTGTTATGTAAAAAATATCTTATAAACAATTCACCATTTTATAGATTGTTTAAGGCAACCAATTACCCTTTGTTAAATGGTTAGTTACTAGTACCAAGTTTCTAGTAAAATGCTTTTACTGCTCAAGAAACAAGTTACTAGTAATAAATTTACCGGAAAATGGTTTCTTGTAATAAATTTACCTATCTTATTTTGTACGCAATGTATGAGCTATAGATATGAATCAATGACATTGTTTAAACATTTAAAAAGTTGTATCAAGTACCACAGTCATATGACCCACTAGTCATCATAGAAATGCCACAATATATATTGAAATGATTGTTACAATGCAAAAATTTTATCAACATTTTGCTCAAATAAAATGGTTTGCTTGAATTTAAAATTTTGATTGCAATGCAAATTATTAAAATGTATGGCACTTGAGCATTTTTTGTTGAATACATATCACAGACTTGTAAATTAGCAGACTTGGTTGGCAAAATTTGCAGTGAAACAACAAGGGCAAAGAAAACTGTGAATGCAAAAATACATATCACGTCTATTAAGCTAGCCCATGTATTAAATAACAATGTCTATGACATGTGGCAATTACATAAACTAGTGCAAGGAGATATATTATTGAAAATATAATGTTAATAGAACGTTCGTGATGTAATCATAGGGTTAAAGTGACGTAACTGCTGAAATACCGGTAATACCTATATAATAGTCACTCGGCGTCATTGTCAACCATTAGCAACATTTGTTGCTACAGAAGGCACTAGGTTGGTTGAGCAAGAGACGCTTATCCTGACTGTTTACGTTATTAAATTACTGTAAAATGATCTAAATTAATACAGTATAAAATATACAAACGGCTGTGTTTCAGCAAATCATTAAGCAGCCTGAGTAACTGGATTTTATTTCTTCTAAAAGAAAACCACCACAAAAGAACAAACAAAATAACATTAAAAAAGTTAAAGATTGTTTAAGCTTATTTGTGATGATATGAATGTACTTGCAACTTTTTCCTTTGTATAAACCTGTACTAATATACAGTTTGAGGGGCAATCTAAATAGAAAGCCGACAATATAGAAAGCCATCTAGCTTTTTGCGAAGTAGCAGCCTCATGTTCAAACCGCTATCAAACTAAATTGTGAGTGTGTACGTTGACATTTTCTAGACAGTATGTGTACGTTGACATTTCTGTAAGTTGGTCAATTTTTAAATAAATACAAAAAAATGACAGCAGGAAACCAGTTCTTTTTTCATTAAAACATTCTCTTATATATTTTGAGACCTGAAATTAAACTTAGAACTGACATGCGTATCGTTTATTAAGTTTTCATCAACACTTTTATACAATAGTGTGTACGTTGCCATCGACAATTTGCAAATATTGTTTGAATGTTCTCATAAAATACAAAACGTTAGACGAAACTAAATACATTTTTAGAAAGCATCGGAACTGCCGCGGACGGTAGGCTAAGTAGCATAATTTAAATCGGCTGGACAGAAAAATAATCACTAAAAAACTTACCTCAGCCGAGCTATTTTGGCCGTGTACGTTGACTTTTGTGGTCACATGACCAAAGTTGCTTACCCACGGTGATTTTACAACAGAATGAAAAATTTAACACTGATTGATTTAGCCCCCCCCCCCCACACACACAACGCACCCCCACCCCCGCATAAAAAATTTTCACCAAAGCGGCTTCATTGTCAAAGTATGGGTGCAAGTCTGTATATGACCATAGCTAATTATGCTAAAAATTTTATTCATTAATGATTGACAGAATAAAATCTGAATATAATGATGATGATTTAAAAGTAAAAAGAATTGATTCATTACAAAAATTGTAAGTACAGAAAAAATATCTTACCTTTTTTACAGACATCGTGAAACTTTAATGCAGTTTTCTGTGTGTCCGATAAACTGTTTACAGTTCACAATAAGATGAGAAAATTACAGCTACGTGAATGTTTGTTGTTCCTGTATATATATAAACACTTATATACAAATGATTTCCTTCTTTAATGTCAATGGTTAATTTATAGGCGTCTGTTTTGCCATACAAGTGGTCAAATGTCCACGATAACTAATCTAAGTAAGTGACAACTTCCAAAATAAGTTACTTTATCAGAGGGTATATATTTCAACGACTTCTTAATGTAAAAGAGGAAGGAAGAAAAATCATCACCACCATCGACAACAACAACAAGAACAACAACAACAACAGCAGCAACATCAACAATAATAATAATTTAATGAATGGAAAAATGCTTGATCACAATGTTAAAAGTTAATCTATCACTCCTCGTGATTTGTCACTATAGACAAAGAAGAAAAAACCGGTGTTAAACTGCCAATAAACACTGGTTATGGACAAAGCCGTTTAAAGCAACAATAAAAAGCATTTTGATGTATATTTTTAGTTCTTGTAATGTTTTCTTTTAAAGCACCACGCCTCCAGATTCATGCTAATTTTCATGAAAACTTTAAAAATGTGTTTAAAAGTATTATTTAGTGAATAACCAAAAGGAAGCAATTTACACATTATCAATGGCACTATAACAACCCACGTAAATTAGTAAAAAGAGGACACAATATACAAAAATAGCCCTTACTGCGTTAGTAACGCAGTAGAAATATATAGTTATAAATACTGGAAAATCAGTCATTAATCCCACCTATATAACATGTATATATTATTACATTTTCTTTATTATCTTTTTCCTAAGATATTAGTTCATTTTTCTCAAGTTTGAATTAATTGAAATATTTTCGCTCATCTGGAGGCATACGGCTTCAATACAATACCGAAATAATATATCCCATACACTAACGCCACATATTTGATCCATATCAGTTAATAAATATTTTGACAAAACAGCGCCAATCCGCACGCTTAAAGACTCAAAACCGGTGTTAAATAGCCTATAAACGCCGCTAAGACCAAAATTATTTCTTAAGTATATAATCCTTCCGCCATAATTTAAAAGTGCAATACATTTTCAATTTTTTGTTCAATTATATTATTATTTCGGGAACCGATCAGTGCGTCTCGCCTGTGATGATTTCTTTCAAAATTAGAGAAGGCGTACACAAAATCATGTAATTATATACAGAAAATTATTGTCTTTCAATCACAGGTGCTTTACAGAAACAATTTTAAAAATTCATATTTCGCATAGTTTGTATCACCAGAATCTTATATAAATATGTACTAGTTTTTATAATATTTTGCTTTATCAATGCATTAGAAAATTTAAAAAAAATAAAATCTAAAATTTAAAACTAAAAAGCAAAGAAAAGGAAAAGTAGTTGAAAATTAAAAGTCGGTTCCAACTATAGCTATACCCGTCACATTACTTGGTTTGACCGATAGAAGCCGTTTTTGACGAAAAATTGCTTTTATTGATACAGAAAATTAGTATCTGTTAATATCTTAAACGCATAGTCCTCATTAAACACATACGAAACAAAAAGGTATGAAAGGCCTGATTAAGGTCGCATGCCAGTATAAGAGTCACATTCCTTTTGAGGGACAGAAGGGTCGTTTCAAAGTTACGAACTTTGTATAATATTTTTAACCATTTTCACTAAACTGCAATAGTAAATATCGTATCGTGAATTCTTTTGTACGATTATTTCAAACATTTACAATATTGAAAAATGTAGGTATATGTTTGGTCTTTAGTTCCGAATATAGCTTTACAGTACCCGTCATATTTCGATAGGGGTGCTGAAAGAGTAACTGCGGCAGTAGTTTTTGGCTTCTTTTTGCCCCATTCCTTTTATCATCTTTGAAATTTGTTTTGTTTTATGTCTATTAATGTTCAAATTTTATACTGATTGTATTAGGAGCATACAAAACGATGAAATATTTTACTTTTGACCGAAAAAGACAATAAATTATTTATTTATAAAGTACATAGTGGTAAACACTGATTCACGCGAAAATATTGAGTACGAATCGAAATTGTTCGTGTCTTCGTGTTGGCGGCTTCGTGTTGGCTTAAAAGGTTTTATATACTTCAAAATGGCCGCGCCCAAACCTATTTTTAGGCACCTTCCATCTAAAATGGTACCTGGCTACATACGATTTAAATAGCAGTGGGAACCATAATCATGTATGATCTACACAATATATATAAGTCTGCACAGAATGGAAATTTGTCTTTTTTCCAGGAACACATCAATGAAAAGTTGTTCAAAGAAACAGTTTTCATCAGCAGTTATGCAAAATCTGGTGATACAGTCCTGCACTATGCTGTTAGACACGGCCATTTTGATTTGGTCAAATATCTTGTGGATGAAGGTTTCAATCTTGAACTAGGAAATTTTGATGGAAAGAGGCCATTACATGAAGCAGCACATTTTGGGCAAGCAGTTTGCCTAAAATTTCTGTTAACGAAGGGTGTCAATGTGGATGCTTTAAAAAGAGCAGACTGGTAATTAAAGTCTAGGGGCCTTACCCTCTTAGCTAGATACAGATTTATTAGTAGGGATTGTAAAATCTTTTCTAAATGTCAGCAAACAAGTCAGTCGTAACAACAACTCTTAGCATGACACTGGCTTCTACCTTGGGTTTTATCGATAATTCAAAAAGTCAGTCCACACTACATGTATCACCCAGTTTTATTAGAAAGTTTTTATACCCCCGCACAAGGGGGCTTCCGTGGCCGAGTGGTTAAGGTCGTTGACTTCAAACCACTTGCCTCTCACCGCTGTGGGTTCTAATCCAGTCGGGGACTTTGGATTCTTTCATGTGAGGATTTATCTAGCTAGCTTACGGAACGTCTGTGGTTCTACTCAGCTAGGTGCCCATTCGTGCCTGAAATAATTCACGGGGGGCACCTGATGTCTTCCTCCACTAGTAAAGCTGGAATGTCGCCAAATGACCTATACTGTGTCGATGTTACGTAAAACCCAATCAAAACAAAACAAAACCCACACACAACAAAGTTGTAAGGGGGGTTTACTGGAATCAGCTTGGGTGTCCGGCCGTCCATCGGTTTTTCCTAATCCGCCTGATAACTTAAGATTCCTTTGACGCACAGTCTTCATATTTGGCATGGAGGTAAGTCATGATGAGTAGATGACCACTATTGATTTTGAGGTCACTGGGTTAAAGGTCAAGGTCACAGGGGCCTTGACTGAAAAAAACTTGTCCGCCTAATAACTAGATTCCTTTGACCCACAGCCTTCATATTTGGCATGGAGGTTAGTTATGATGAGTAGATGACCCCTATTGATTTTGAGGTCAAAGGTTAAGGTCACAAGGGCCTTGACTGAAAAAGGATTGTCCGCCAAATAACTTGAGATTCCTTTGACCTCTAGTCTTTATATTTAGCATGGAGGTTAGTCATGATGAGTAGATGATCCCTCTTGATTTTAAGGTCACTGGGTCAAAGGTCAAGGTCACAGGGACCTTGACTGAAAAAAGTTTGTCCACATAAAATAACTTGAGATTCCTTTGACCCACAGTCTTCTTATTTAGCATGGAGGTTAGTCATGATGAGTAGATGACCCCTATTGATTTTGAGGTCGCTGGGTCAAAGGTCAAGGTGACAGGGGCCTTAACTGAAAAAAGCTTGTCCGCCCAATATCTTAAGATTCCTTTCACCCACAGTCTTCATATTTGGCATGGAGGTCAGTCATAATTAGTAGTTGAGGCCTATTGATTTTGATGTCACTTGGTCAAAGGTCAAGGTCATAGGGTCACTTACTATATAAAGCTTATCCGCCCAATAACAAGTTTAAAAAACCCAGTCTTCATATTTGGCATGGAGGTTAGTCATAATTAGTAGATGACGCCTATTGAAATTAAGGTCACTGGGTCAAAGGTCAAAGTCACAGGGGCCTTAAGCTCAAAAATCTTGTCTGCTTAATTGCGTAACAATGCGTTGGTCAACAGTCTTCATATTTGGCATTGAGGTTGATTATGACTGGTAGATGACCCCTAAAGTAAAGGTCAGAAGGGCCTTGACTAAAAAAAGCTGGTTTGCCCAATAACTTAAGGATCCTTTGACCTACAGTCTTTATATTCCCATATTGATTTTGAGGTCACTGGGTGAAAGGTCAAGGTCACAGGGGCCTTAACTAAAAAATGCTAGTTCGCCAAATATCTTAAGAATCCTTTTACCCACAGTCTTTATATTTGGCATGGAGGTTGATCATGACCATAAGGTGACCCCTTTTGATTTTGAGGTTTCCAGGTCAAAGGCCAAGGTCACCGGGGCCTTTAGTTCAAAAAGCTTGTCCGCTCAATTGCTTAAGAATGCTTTGATCGACAGTCTTCATATTTGGTATTGTGGTTGGTTATGACTAGTATATGACCCCTATTGATTTTTAGCTTACTGTGTCAAAGGTCAAGGTCACAGGGGTTTTTACTACAATAAGTTTGTCCGCTCAAATGCTTAAGAATGCCTGTCTAAAGTGTTATTGATTTTGACATTTTCACATTTGAAGCATATAATTATGTTCTCATATATTCATCATAAAACAACCCCAGGCAAAGCTGCATGAATGGGGGTATTCAAGTCATGCAGTGGCAGTTTCTGTTTTAAGGTCAAAGGTAAAGGTCACTTTGATCTTTGCCACAAACACATGTAGAATACATAATTTAGCAATGCACTGTCTTACTACCCTCAGATTTTGAGCTTTAAATGACCACTGTTGATTCTGACAAAGTGGTATGTGGGGGTATTCAGGCCATGCAGGGCTTTTTTTCACAGGTTGGGGAAGCAGCCCAGCCCTTAATTTTTGGGAAAAATTACACAGTATATTTGCAAAAGGGGAAGAAAAAACTTGATGTAAATTCAATTTCTGGGGAAAACTGCATGATTTTAAAGAAATTTTCTTTGGGGAAGCAGTCCTATACCGGCCCCTGTTATAGAAGGTAAAAAGGCCCTGCCATGACAGTGGCAGTTCTAGTTATATTTAACTAGTGCATTAGAAAAATGAATTAGCCTGGGAATAGATACAAATGTAGCAGGTTTGGGGCCATTACTTTGCAAAAGGAATGCATTCCATTACCATTACTTTGGGGTTTGATGCAGTATCAGTACCATTACTTGATTTTGGGCAAGTAATGCAGTACATTACCATTACATGGACCAAGTAATGCAGTATCATTACCATTATTTTTGAGCATAAGACAATTTCCTTTTGCCAAGCTAAAATGTTTTGTAGCTTATATTTACAAAAAAACAAACTAATCATGTACATTTGTATACATATATTTATAAATTTCTTAATGTATGAGACACTTTCAAAGAGTTTTCAGTTGTAATATAGGTATATAAACATTTTGCTCGATTATCTGCCTTCTTTATAGATGACTCAAGATATTCATCTCTGTGTTTTACATTTAAATAACAAGACAACCAAACTGAATTTACATAAAATTGTATTTTAAGTTTTTACTTTAAATTGTGTTTTAAGTCAGTAATAGTGACTATGCATTTCATGATAATTAGTCTGGCACATGGCAGCTTGACAAAAAGCTGCATGATGTTATGCAATAAAACCAATCGGTCAACTTTTGAAGTCTCCCTCACGAGAGGTAAGGTTGAGTAAACAAAACAAATACCACTTTGCACATTGTGAGTTACTTACCGTAAGTCTACTCCAGCGTTACTTGAGGCAACCTTTCATGAGTTTGAGTCGAGATTGAGATTAAGTATCGTGATGTAGTGGGTTTGGTGAAGTAATGCAAAGTTATGCACAGTAATGCACCTTCATTACCTGAATTTTGCATTCCAGTACCATTACTAGTAATGCAATTGGCATGCAGTATCATTACATTGCATTACTTTCAAAAAAAGTAATACATTCCTACTGCATTACCATTACCAGTATCATTACCCCAAGCCTGGCAGATAGGTAGGGTTGTAACTGACTAATACATAATTAATGAGAGTGTTTAACATGGAATTCCTGCTCCAATGTTGTTTGAAATATAACTTTAAATATTACTACGTACATGTAAGCAGGGTCTAAACTCTTTCAAATAGAATGGTCTGGAAATGCACTATGTAATCCCTTTTCGCTACAATTAAACATGTCTTGGTACAACTCGGTATAGTTTGCTATATGCAAATTATGTAAGTGTTCAAGAAAAGGGCGAAAATTAAAAGCAATAGCAAAAATGAAAATTCTAACAACATGATGTTCTTTAAAAATCTTTAAACTTGTGAAAAAAAAGATAAATATTTTAGAAAATAGTGTTTTTAAAGCCATAATCTGTTGAAAAACATAGATTACTTGTTTATAATATTTGCCGACAAATGGTGCCATTTTGAAAATGCACCAAATTATACATCAAATATTTGTAAATAACATCATGAAATATTATAAAATCTTAACATGAAACAATTAAATAACATTTTTTCTCTGTAAAATCAATTTCTTTTTTGTCACTGAACAATTAAGCTTATGAAACTCGGACCTATTTTCAGATATGATCAGAAGATTTTTACCTTGACACCGGGAACAAAAAATTCCTATTGCAAATACATAAATTTGTTTCTTTTTAAAGTAAAAACTGATAATGTAATGTAGCCTGGATTAGCTTTCAGTAATTTTTTATCAGTTTAACAAAAAAGTATGTAATAATTTGATGTTTGAACGGTGATTTATACTAAGCCAAATCACAGTCGGTAGATAACCTAATCACATGACTCAGCTGAGACATAGAATTTTCGTAAAAATTCTTTTTGAAAGACCCTGATGTAAGTCTGCAAATAATTAAATAATGTTCAAGATTAACTGTGAATTTCAGGGATTTTTATGCCCCCGCCATATAATGGCTGGGGCATAAAGTGTGACCCTGTTCCGACATTCTGTCATCATCAGTTTCCGTTCATTATCTTAGTAACAGCTGCACACATTCAACTCAAATTTGGCATATGGATATGACTGATTGGGAAAAAATGAGTTATTTTGACTCAAATTGGGAATTTTTATCAAACAACTTTTCAGCTACAAATAAGATTAGTCATAATGGATAAAGACAGCTAACAGCTTCCACTGTCCAGGTAGAACTATTGAGTGGTTGTTTGATTTTAAATGATTTAAGAGAAATCTCAGGGCCTTGTGGGAATTTTTAACAGTCATTTTGGGAATCTTTACATTAGAAATTGGGAATTTCATGTCTTTTTGTGCCCCCACATCGGCGGGCATTTAGAATTTACCCTTGCCCGTCCGTTCGTCCGTCCAAGCAAACATTTTGGGTTTAGGGGCTATATAACAGTAAAGAGAACAAAAGAGAACAATAGGTTCATTCCGTGATCAAAGGAATGCTGATCAGCATGTTTAGTTGTGCACCTGGGTATTTTCTTCTGGATATTTTTAGTAATTTTAGAGTTATTGCCCTTGACTTAGTAAAATTTTGCAAATTTCAACTTTTGTCGCATGTAACCCAAAAAGGATTTGACCTAGAGTCATGAAACTTTACAGGAATGTTGATCAGCATGTGTAGTTGTGCACCTGGGTATTTTCGTGTGGATTTATTTAGTATTTTTAGAGTTATTGCCTAGACTTAGTAAAATTTTGCAATTTTCAACTTGAGTTGCATGTAACTCAAAAAGGATTTGACATAGAGTCATGAAACTTTACAAGAATATTGATCAGCATGTGTAATTGTGCACCTGGGTATTTTCGTGTGGATTTATGAGAATATACATGTCTAGTTCGAATTGGTCATGGTTAGATGATTTTTGGCAGAGTTATGCCCCTTTTACTTTTATATGAAATTTTCAGTTTCCATTCATTATCTCCCCAATGGTACTACACATTCAACTCAAACTTGACAAATGGATATGTCATGAGAAAATACAGGTCAAGTTCAAATTTGGTCATGGTTTGATGATTTTTGGCAGAGTTATGCCCCTTTTACTTTGAAAATAATATGAAATTTTCAGTTTCCAGTCATTATCTCCCCAATGGTATTACACATTCAACTCAAACTTGACATATGGATATGTCAAGGGAATATGCAGGTCAAGTTCGAATTTGGTCATGGTTTAATGATTTTTGGCAGAGTTATGCCCCTTTTACTTTGAAAATAATATGAAATTTTCAGTTTCCGTTCATTATCTCCCCAACAGTATTACACATTCAACTCAATCTTGAGACATGGATATGTCAAAGGAATGGGCAGGTCAAGATCGAATTTGGTCATGGTTCCATGATTTTTTGCAGAGTTATGCCCCTTTCACTTCGATAAAATTTTCAGTTTCCGTTCATTATCTCCCCAACAGTATTACACATTCAACTCAAATTTTACATATGAATACGTTAAAAGAATGTGTAGGCCAAGATCGAATTGGGTCTTGGTTCAATGATTTTTGGCAGAGTAATTCCCATTCCACAATGAAAATTATATGAAATTTTCAGTTTCTGTTCATCAGTGTTACATATTCAACTCAAATTTTACATATGGATATGTCAAATGAATGCACAGGTCAAGTTCGAAGTGGTCATGGTTCGATGATTTTTGGCAGTTATACCCCTTTAACTTTGAAAAAAATGAAATTTTCAGTTCACATTCATTACCTCCCCAACAGTTGTACATATTCAACAACAAATTAAAGATATGGATATGTCATAATTTAAGTTTCCGTTCATTATCTCCCCAATGATTGTACACATTCAACTCAAATTTGACATATAGATACATCTTAGGAATAAGCAGTTCAAGTTTGAATTTGGTCGCGGTTCAATGATTTTGGACAAAGTTATCTTTCTTGAATGTTGGAAAAATTTTGAATTTTCATTTTCAGCACTCATACTTGTGTGAAAATGTATGTACCCATTATTTTGACTACAAATATGCATCATATGCAATTTACAAAAGGTTAACACTGAATAGTTTCAGTGCCTTGAACTTTGTATAAAAATGGTTTGTGTTAACATTGAATAGTTTTAAGGGCTTTGAACTTAAAATGAAAAAAATAATTTGTGCAAACAAATTTAGAACTAAATATTATAACATCTGAAATTTTGGTTGCATGCGGGGGCATCTGTGGCATAATGACACATTTCTAGTATGTTTTTTTTTGATAGACCATCATTTAACCACATTGATTAAGGTTTTCTTATCACAGCTGTTGTCTATGTACCACAAGTATATTAAATAGGATTGCTTATTTTTAATTGGGACAAAACCTTTCATCGTTTTTGGAGCATTTTTCAAAACAATTATTCTGACTGAAAATCAAGCAGTTCTGGCCTTTCCTTTTTCAGGCTAGATACAATCGCAGGAACTTTATATTTAATCAATTAATCACAAAATGTATGTGTAATAATGATACAGCTTTATCTGTATGAAAAAACATACATAGAGGTAAGGGCTATATACATATATTTTGTAATTTATTGTTTAAATATTAAGTTCCTGTGATACAATGTCGTGTAAAACACTAGTACAGACCATGATCAGACAACAGGGAACTGATGAAAGTGCAGGCTGATCGGCTTTGTTCACATGGGCTAAGAATCTGATGCTGTCATCAGACTAAGTGTCAAAATTTACATAAACTATCTCCAATATGAAACTTGTCATTAAAGTATGCTCTCACTGTAACTATTTAAACTTTATTGATATACATAGTCTGTTAATTTTATCAGAGGTTATCTTAATTTGTATTCATATTTATAGGACACCCTTGATGTTAGCCTGCACCAAAGATGATCTAACCGTTGTCCAGATTTTAGTAGAAAACAGAGCAAACTTACATTTGAAAAACAAAGATGGCTGGAACTGCTTTCATATTGCTGTCAGGTAAGTAATATTTTCATCATTCAGTTTGTTATTATTTCATAAGTATTTTTTTGGTTGACTAAACAAATTGGTACTACTCTGATTCAGACAGCTACATGACCTAGATTCTTGTCCTGTTTATTTATATCGGTACCTGTTCTGGTTACTTCATGAACTGGACTCAAACGTAAGTAAAATAAGTTAGAAAGTTTTACAGTCATCCTTAAATGAATATTTTTAGATGAACTAATCATTAACAAGAATAAAAGCCACTTAGTGTTTTGAAAGTCTTCAAGTTAGAATTGTGGTGCTGATGGAATCATTTTATTTTTGTGAGCTAATATTTATGACCTTCTGTGACTTTTTTTGACAGAGAAGGGCATTTACCAATTGTTCAGTATCTACTGAAGCAAGACACATCACTATGGGATACAGCCAGTAAGAATGGGCGGACACCACTTCATACAGCAGGTACACAGTAAACACTTTACGAATGACATGTAATAAATTTCATAATAACCCACCTTTTATTGTGTCGCCTTGAAAAGGCGACATATAGGGGTTACTTTTGTCGGTGTCGGCGTCCCCTAAAGCTTGTCCGGAGCATAACTCAGTCACTATAAGTCTGATTGACTTCAAACTTGGTATGCATGCTTCTTTCTATAACCCGAAGTGCAGTGCACAAGGACCAGTACTCTGCAGTTCTTAATTTTTGAGTTATTGCCCTTTGTTAATTTTCATACTTTAATTTTGTCCGGGCCATTTCTCTTCAACTAAAAAAGCTATGGACTTGAAACTTCATAGGATGATAGATCTCATTAAGAAGAAGTGCTGTGCACAAGAACCTGTACTCTGCACTTCCTAATTTTTGAGTTATTGCCCTAAATGTTAATTTTCATACTTTATTTTTGTCCGGGCCATTTCTCCTAATGTATAATAGCCATGGACTTAAAAATTCATAGGATGATGGATCTCATTAAGAAGAAGTGCAGTGCACAAGAACAGGTACTCTGCATTTCTTATTTTTTGAGTTATTGCCCTTTGTTAATTTTCATACTTTAATTTTGTCTGGGCCATTTCTCCTTAAGTATAAAAGCTATTGACTTGAAACTTCATAGGATGATAGATCTCATTAAGAAGAAGTGCAGTGCATGAGAATCGGTACTCTGCATTTCTTATTTTTTGAGTTTTGGCCCTTTGTTAATTTTCATACTTAATTTTTGTCCGGGCCATTTCTCCAAAAGTATAAAAGCTATGGACTTGAAACTTCATAGCTTGATAGATCTCATTAAGAAGAAGTGCAGTGCATAAGAACTGATACTTTGCATTTCTTATTTTTTAAGTTATTGCCCTTTGTTGATTTTCTTACTTTATTTTTGTCCTGGTCATTTCTCCTCAAGTATGAAAGCTATGGACATGAAACTTCATAGGATGATAGATCTCATTAAGATAAAGTGCAGTGTACAAGAACCGGTACTCTGCACTTCTTATTTGTGAGTTATTACCCTTTTTTAATTTTCATACTTTATTTTTATCCAGGCTATTTCTTATAAATTATAAAAGATATGGACTTGATAGACATAGGCATAGAATGATAGATCTTATTGATAAGAAGTGCAGTGCACAGAAACTGCTGCACTGCACTTATTACTTTTTGAGTTATTGCCCTTTGTTAGTTTTCATATTTCATTATTGTCCTGGCCATTTCTCCTAAACTATATTGTTCACAAGGCGACACATCCGACTCGTGGAGTTCTAGTTTGTAATGGCACTTCTCCATCCCAGGCAATACAGGGGTGAATGAGGGAAATGAGTTTTTATGCCCCCAAAGGGTGGCATATTAAAATCGCACCATCTGTCTGTGTGTCTCCACTTCATTTGTGTCCGTACTGTAACTTAATCATACATTGAGGGATTTTAAAATAACTTGGCACAAATGTCTACCACATCAAGACAATGTGTCGCGGCTAAGGCTCGTGTCCATCTGTGTGTCTCCACTTACACAACAATCATGTCCAGACTGTAACTTTGTCATGCATTGAGGGATTTTGAAATAACTGGGCACAAATGTCTATCTCTTAACAACATTCTGTCGCGTCCAGGAACCGCGTTCCATCTTCAAAAGTCAAGATCATACTTGTATTTGAAGGTTCACGCTATCACAATTAGAGATTACAGGTACAATTATACAAAGAACAATATGAAGGAATTAGTTACTTTTATTCTCTTTTCTTTTCATAATACCTGCATGCTTAAAAAACCTTTTTGGGGGCATTCCTCACTTAGGTGACCGTTTCCTGTTAAAATAATAATTTTCATCAGACACACACTGCATTGCAATGTCAAGGCATTGGTTCTGTTATGGAGATATCACTAACTTGCTGTGTAGCAAATTTAACTGGAGGGTTTACCACCTAACTCCTTTCAGAGTTGGGCTTTAACTTGAGGATTTTCCAAAAGTCAAGGTCCTCACTAATACACCTAGGTGGAAAGGCTGAGACTGCAATTAAATGGTGCATTATATAGTTATGTCAGTTTTTTATACTGGTCTTTTTATGACTTTATTTGCTGATGACTTTTAAAGGGACTCTACTGAGTTCTTTTGACATGATTTTTTTACTTAAAATAATTTTTCAAAAATAAAATTCCATTTGATGCTGCCCTAGACTTATAACTTGTGTGCAAAATTTCTGATCATGCGCTAGCATTGTTTTACCAGAATAATTATTCTGTTGTCAGTGGCCAATGGGTTAAACTTAAAGCTGTTGACTTGAAACCACTTGCACCCACTGCTGCGGGTTTGATTCCGACAATGACTTTGGATTCTTTCATGTGAGAAAGCTATCCATCTGGCCTATGGAACATTAGTGGTTCTACTTAGGTGCCAGTTCATGCCTGAAATAATTCACAGATGGGCACCTGAGGTCTTTCTCCACCAGTAAAGCTTAAATATGCCACATGACCAATACTGTGAAGGTGTGACATAAAACCTAATCAAACAAACGGATAATAAGTCTGATCGTGAAAAAATCACTTAATTTTGAAAGGCATTCCACCGACGTTGGGCTAAAGACAGGACAGAAATTTGATTTTTCATTCATTTCTGGATATTACTCATTATGTTTTGTAATCTTGTTTAAGCACTGTAGCTTATCTATGCAAGAATACAAATTTCATGTTTTTAGGCTTTATATATAGGACCTCAGGGGAGTTCTTTAAATATATTGGCATTCATTTTGAAGTAGGTTATAGCAAGCAAGGTGATAGTTTGCATTTTGTCAGTTTAAGCACTGTGAAGGTGCAATTAGGAGGAAAAGAAACATAGTTTACTATGCCACCAGAAATGCAAGAAAAATATGCCATTTATCCGAAACTACAAAGATAAATCAAAGCACAGAAGGTGCTGAATTTTTTTGGGTCTCAGAATGTCAGAAATGTGAAGGTTGTGAGATTATAAACCAATTTGTTTTTAGCTCACCTGTCACAAAGTGACAGGGTGAGCTTTTGTGATCGCTTTTCGTCCGGCATCCGTCCGTAAACTTTTACTTTAAATGACATCTCCTCATAAACCACTAAGCCAATTTCATCCAAACTTCACCGGAATGTTCCTTTGGTGGTCACCTTTAAAAATTGTTCAAAGAATTAATTCCATGCAGAACTCTGGTTGCCATGGCAACTGAAAGAAAAAACTTTAAATATCTTCTTTTAAAAAACCGAAAGAGCTAGAGCTTAGATATTTGACATGAAACATCTTCTAGTGAGTGTCTTCCAAGTTTGTTCAAATAAAAGCCCTGGGGTCAAAAATGGCCCCGCCCCAGGGGGTGATGATTTTCCCAATATGCATATAGTAAAAACTTAAAAAATCTTCTTTTAAAGAACCCAAAGAGCTAGAGCTAAGATATTTAGCATGAAACATCTTCTAATGAGTGTCTACCAAAGTTTGTTCAAATAAAAGCCCTGGGGTCAAAATTGGCCCCGCCCCAGGGGGTCATTGATTTTCCCTATATGCATGTAGTAAAAACTTAAAAAATCTTCTATTAAAGAACTCAAAGAGCTAGAGCTAAGATATTTGGCATGAAAGATCTTCTTATGAGTGTCTACTAAGTTTGTTCAAATAAAAGCCCTGGGGTCAAAATTGGCCCCGCCCCAGGGGGTCATTGATTTTCTCTATATGCATATTGTAAAAACTTAAAAAATCTTCTTTTAAAGAACTCAAAGAGCTAGAGCTGAGATATTTAGCATGAAACATGTTCTAATGGGTGTCTACCAAGATTGTTCAAATAAAAGCCTTTGGGTCAAAATTTGCCCCGTCCCCGGGGGTTATTGATTTTCCTTATATGTGTCAGTAGCAAAAACTTAAAAATCTTCTTTGGAAAAACCCAAATATCAAGAGTTTAGATATTAAGCATGAAACATCTTCTAGTGAGTGTTTCCAAGTTTGTTCAAATAAAAGCCCTGGGGTCAAAATTGGCCTTGCCCCAGGGGTGTCATTGTTTTAACTATATGTGTATAGTAAAAACTTAAAAAATCTTCTTTTAAAAAACCCAATGAGCTAGAGCTTAGATGTTTAGCATGAAACATCTTCTTATGGGTGTCTACCAAGTTTGTTCAAATAAAAGCCCTTGGGTAAAAATTGGCCCTGTTAGGGGGGGCGGGGTGTGGGAGGGCAGAGGTCATTTATTTTCATTATATGTGTGTAGTAAAAACTTAACATCAAGAAACATCTTCTAATGGGTGTCTTCCAAGTTTGTTCAAATAAAAGCCCTGGGGTTTAAACTGGCCCTGCTCCAGAGGCCTATATACAGGTGAGCAACCTCAGGGCCATCATGGCCCTCTTGTTGTATAGTGCCACCAATGCTTTCCAGCGTTTTAATTGTAGTAAATTGGCTATAAGACTAATTGCAACACTGATAATTAATTCAATGTTTATTTTACTTAAACAATTTGAAAAGAAAGGAGTTGTTTTAATTGGGATTTGAACTCCAGACCTCTCGTTTCCTAAGCGAGCTCGCAAACCCCTCGGCCACGGTGAAGTTATATGTTAGCAGCCTGAAGAAAACCATATTATTCTAAATTAGGGTTTGTAACGACGCTAACTGTTGTTAACACAGATGTAAATAATCATGGAGCTTACTATAAGCATGTATATCTATAAAGAATAAAATAATATTAGAAATCTTCGACCATTTGAGAACTATTTTGCTTGAAAATTAATGCGCCCGTCATTTGACCATCTTTATGCATTGATCTTCCCTGAATTTTTTCGGCGTTAATGTACATATAAAGAGAAGTAACCACTTCAAAAAAGCGGACTACTTTCGGCATTTGCAATTAACAGCATCAGACTCTGAAATTTCGCTACCATTATTTGTTTGGTCTGACGACCCAAACAAATAAAAATTGATGAAAAATGTCTTTTTAGTAGCTATTGGGAATAAGACAAGAGAATGGACTCTTAAACTTGACTTTTCATTAATACTATCAATATTTTATTTCATATTTATTTAACTTGCTTTTTTATTGTGGATGAAGATACTATTTTTTTATGAAATCTATTTATGACTTCTTGTCAATATGTTAATATTTTATGAATGAATATGTGCTATTGATTCTTTTTCTTCAGATAAGTTTTATTTTAAAGAAATTCATCAGAATGAATCATAAATCAAACATGTGTATGAATGAAGATTTAATATTGAAATGTAGAATGAATTGATGGTAGTTTAAAGAAAGAAAAGAAGGAAAAGATAAGGATAGGCATTAGCATACAGTTTTACAATGCAACAGCTGTTTGATATTTATTTTATCAACAACACTGCCACATGTCATAACTGTATCATTATACATGTAATTTGTGACAACATAACAAATTATGACATCAGTGAGTGTAAGTACGCTACAATAGATAGTTTAAGATTATGGATAAGAAAATAGGAGAAACTTCTTTTTTTGTTATAAGGATATAACTTGTAGCCATGTTCATCCTATCCACAGGAAATGTATTAAAGTAGTTACATAGAACATGCCCCTGGCTGGGGTCAAAATCAAGGGACACTTGGGCCACTTATTTGATATAGATTTTTATAGGAAAGCACATTGAAATCTATTTGTATGAACTTAACAAGATACAATTTCCAAAACATAGATATTTGGCATGTTGCATTGCCTGGTAGACCTCTACAATTGTTATATAAATCATGCCTCTGGGGGGAAATGCACTTCCCTGGGGGTCAGTTGGTTTACATAGACTTATGAAATTAAAACATGTCTAAGAAATCTTTAAATGTAAAAAACATTGATAATATACAGTTCATGTACATAGTATAAAGTCTGGTCAGATTGAAGGTACTTGTAAAAGCTGACCTCATACTGTACACGCTAGTTGTATTATTGCTTCTTCAAGTAAACAAATATATAAACTTGACAATATGGCTGATTGTGTGATGATTTTTCAGCTCTTCATGGTCGTAATGATGTTTTGGAGTATTTACTGGATGTGTGTCAATATGGGACTGACATGAAAGACAGTTGTGGCTCCACACCCCTCATGGATGCTCTTAGGATCCAGGATGTTGATGCGGCCAAACTGCTCATCTCTAAACATCAGGTATCTTTACTTGTTCCCTACATGTGTAAAGGACCTCATGATTAAAGTCAGTGAGTTCAAATCTCTTGCCTTATACCACTGTTGGTTTGTTTGATTCGTCATGTGACAAAGCATATGGAATGACTTAAAGAAGGCCATTGGTTCTAATTGCTGGTCTGCTTGTCAACCTAAGATATTTCTCCACCAGTTATGGAAAAGATGCTGTATAACTGGTATTGACTAACAACCTACCATGAAATAGTAAATTACCATAATGAGTCATCATATAGAAAAATGACTCATCTACAAATTATAAGAGAATAGAAAATGTAACTTGTTGATTTGTATCAGAAATTCTTGTCAATACTGTATGTCAGCTGATTTGTGCAAGACAAGTTTCTTTAATTCTTTAGTCTTATGCATTCATGATTTTCATGTTTTGGACATTCATGAAAATAGATAAGTGAAAACACTGTTTATTGACACCAGTACTAGTTACTGGGAGCTTTTTATCCCCCGCCGAAAAATTTCGGCGGAGGATATAGAAATAGTCTCCGTCCGTCCGACCTTCCGTCCTTCCATCCGACATTTTTGTCCGGAGCATATCTCTAAAAGTATTTGAGTTATCAACTTGAAACTTCATAGGTGGATAGACCTCATTGAGGAGGAGTGCAGTGCACAAGAATGATAACTCTACCTTGCATGATTTTTGAGTTATTGCCCTTTGTTATTTTTCAAAATTGATTTTTGTCCAGAGCATAACTCCAAAAGCCTATGAGATATTAACATGAAACTTCATAGGTGCATAGATCTCACTCAGGAGGTGTGCAGTGCACAAGAATGATAACTCTACCTTTCATAATTTTTGAGTTATTGCCCTTTGTTATTTTTCATACCTAATTTTTCACCTGAGTGGAGCATAACTCAAAAAGTGTTTGAGATATCAACATGAAATGTCATAGGTGGATAGATGTTATTGAGGAGGAATGTTGTGCACAAGAATGATAACTCTTCCCTATACAATTTTTGAGTTATTGCCCTTTGTTTTTTTTTCATGCTATTTTGTCCAGAGCTTATCTCAAAAAGTATTTGAGGTATCAACTTGAAACTTCAAAGGTGGATGGATCTCATTGAGGAGGAGTGCAGTGCTTAAGAATGATAACTCTACCCTGCATTATTTTTGAGTTATTGCCCTTTGTTATTTTTCAAAATTAATTTTTGTCCAGAGCATAACTCAAAAAGCCTTTGAGATATCAAAATGAAACTTCATAGGTGCATAGATCTCACTCAGGAGGTGTGCACTGCACAAGAATGATAACTCTACCTTTTATAATTTTTGAGTTATTGCCCTTTGTTCTTTTTCATACTTAATTTTTCAATTCAATTTTTTTCTCAAAAAGTATTTTAGGTATCAACTTGAAACTTCATAGGTGGATAGATTTTACTGAGGAGGGATGCAGCACACAAGAATGATAACCTACCCTGCATTATTTTTCAGTAATTGCCCTTTGTTATTTTCAGCCATCAGTATTCACATAAGTTTCAAATCTGTAATCACTATAGCCATCAGTTTTCATTACCAAAAGACCTCTTAAAATGGAATTATTCCGCTCTACTACATATACATTCTTCCAATGAGCAAACACATTCGGCGGGGGATGGCCATGTTGACATGGCTCTTGTTAATGTTTAAAACTAAATCTTTTTAGCTCGACTATACGAAGTATATGGAGAGCTGTCCTACTCGCCCCGACGTCCGCGTCCAGATTTCTGATTAAAGTTTTGGTGCAGTAAAATATTTTTCACTATAACTTTGTCATTTCTTAAGGTATCAACTTCAAACTTCAAATATATGTACCTTATCATCAACCACATCTTATGTGACAAGGTTCATAACTCTAGCATCAATATTTTCAGATTTATCTCCCCTTGAACTTAGAATTTTCCTCAAAAAATACTATTTTTTACTGTTACTTCTTTATTTCTTAAGGGATCAACCTCATACTTCAAATATATGTACCTTATCATCATCCCCATCTTATGTGACAAGGTTCATAACTCTAGCACCAATATTGTCAGATTTATCTCCCCTTGAACTTAGAATTTTCCTCAAAAAATACTGTTTTTTGCTGTTACTTCTTTATTTCTCAAGGGATCAACCTCATACTTCAAATATATGTACCTTATCATCATCCCCATCTTATGTGACAAGGTTCATAACTCCAGCACAAATATTTTCAGATTTATCTCCCCTTGAACTTAGAATTTTCCTTAAAAAATATTATTTTTTACTGTTACTTATTTATTTCTAAAGGAATCAACTTCATACTTCAAATATTTGTAACTTATCATCATCCACATCTTATGTGACACGGTTCATAACTCTAGCACTAATATTGCAAGAATTATCTCCCCATAAAATTAGATTTTTTTACTAGAAAAATGTTATTTTTTACTACAACTTTTTTAGATTTAAAGGTATCTACCTCAAACTTCAAATACTTATTCCTTATCATCAATTACATTTTATGTGACAATGTTTGTAACTCTTGAAGCAATATTTACAGATTTATCTTTCTTTGAACTTAGGATTTTCTTTAAGAAATATTATAACTTCTTTACTTTTTAAGGTATCTACTTCAAACTTCAAATATATATTTCTTATCATTACACACATGTTGTGTGACAAGGTTCATAACTCTAGCATGACTATTTCTAGAATTATTCCCCTTGATCTTGGAATTTATGGTAACAAATGATATTTTTTTACTATAACTTAATACATAATTATACATAATTGGTTTTTCTTTCATAGTTTTGTCCTCCTTACTGTGTCCAGTATTTTATTAGTCGAGCTTGGCTGTCTCCTGTGACAGCTCTTGTTTATTATCAACTCATTCCTTTTCTTTGATTATGTTATGAAATATATTTTTTCAGACTGATGTCATGATGGAAGATAATCTAGGTCGCCAGGCTCTTCATATAGCATCACAGACAGGTGCTTGTAAATCTGTGCAGTTACTTGTAGAGCATTGTAAGGTCAACCCTGCTGGAACATGTTCTACAAATGGTGCTACAGCTCTTCATATAGCTGCTAAGGTTACTCTTGATTTGTTTCATTTTTAGCTCGACTATACAAAGTATATGGAGAGCTGTCCTACTCGCCCCGGCATCGGCGTCCGCGTCCAGATTTCAGATTAAAGTTTTGGTGCAGTAAAATATTTTTCACTATAACTTTGTCATTTCTTAAGGGATCAACCTCATACTTCAAATATATGTTCATTATCATCATACCCATTTTATGTGACAAGGGTCATAACTTTAGCACCAATATTTTCAGATTTATCTCCCCTTTAACTTAGAATTTTCCTTAAAAAATATTATTTTTTACTGTAACTTATGTATTTCTAAAGGGATCAACTTCATACTTCAAATATATATACCTTATCATCATCCACATCTTATGTGACAAGGTTCATAACTCTAGCACCAATATTGCAAGAATTATCTCCCCATAAACTTAGATTTTTTTTACTAGAAAAATGTTATTTTTTACTATAACTTTTTTAGTTTTAAAGGTATCTACCTCAAACTTCAAATACTTATTCCTTATCATCAATTACATTTTATTTGACAATGTTCATAACTCTTGAAGCAAGTTTTACAGATTTACAGCTTTGCTGTCTCCTGTGACAGCTCTTGTTAAACGCCCATTTGAAAAACGGGTCTTATTATTTATTATTGTGTCATGTGCAAATTTTAGGTCCCTGCGGCCAAGATCAAGGTCACACATAGGGGTCAAATTCTGATAAAAATATGAAAATGTGTATTTGGACCATTTAGTCATCATTTATTAAGGAATTGAAACACATTTATGGTCATTATCATGACTACCATAGTGAAAGTAAGTATTGAGCACATAATCTAGATCCCTGCTACCAAAGTCAAGGTCACATAGAGGTCAAAGTTTGTGTACGGGGACCATTTAGTCATCATTTATTGATGGATTGTAGCACAAATGATAACTATCATGACTACAAGTGTGACACATGTAATTTAGGTTAATATTTGCAAGGTCAAGGTCACTAGAGATTATAAAATATTGTCCAGATATTGCCCAGAGCATATTGTCTATATACACATCTATAATGCCCACATCCCTGACAAAAGCTTTTGTGACGGTCGTATTTTGCAACAGTGTTGCCGTTGTTAAATTTTAAATTGTTTCCACTCCCAGAAATTGTATGTTTGTTTGATTTTTAGCTCACCTATCCACGAAGTGGCGCTATGTCCATCGTCTTGCGTTGTTTGTCATCAACAATTGGGTGGTTAACAGTCTGGCAGTCACAGTTTTGATTGGATCATCATCAAACTTTGTCAGAATGTTTGTCTCAATGAAATACAGATGGAGTTCGAAGATGGGTCAAAAACTAGGTCACAGGAGCTAAAAATAGAAAAAATGTGTTAACATTAGTGGCTGCAGTTTTGATCCTAATTCCCTGGAAATCAGTCAGGAAAGTTGTTTTTATGATTTCTAGGTCAAGTACGAAGATGGGTCATTTCCAGTCAAAAACAAGGTCATAGGAGCTAAAAATAGGAAAATCTTGTTAACATTCTAGTGGCTGCAGTTTTGATTCAAATATTCTAGAAATTTTTCAAGAAGGTTGTTTTGATGATTTCTAGGTCAAGTTCGAGGGTAGGTCATCTTCAGTCAAAAACTAGGTCACAAGAGCTAAAAAAAGAAAAATCTTGTTAACACTCTAGTGGCCGCAGTTTTGATCCAAATTTCCTGGTAATCGGTCAGAAAGGTTGTTTTGATAATTTCTAGGTGATGTTCGAATATAGTACATCTCTGGTAAAAAAGGTCACAGGAGCTAAAAATAGAAAAAGCTTGTTAACACTCTAGTGGCTGCAGTTTTGATACAAATATTCTGGAAATTTGTGAAGAAGGTTGTTTTGATGATTTCTAGGTCAAGTTCGTAGGTGGGTCATCTGTGGTCAAAAACTAAGTCACAGGAGCTAAAAATAGAAAAATCTTGTTAACATTCTAGTGGCTGCAGTTTTGATCCAAATATTCTTGAAATTTGTCAGGAAGGTTGTTTTGATGATTTCTAGATCAAGTTCAAAAATGGGTCATCTCCGGTCAAAAACTAGGTCACAGGAGCTAAAAATAGAAAAAAGCTATTTAACACTAGTGGCTGCAGTTTTGATCCAAATTTCCTTGAAATTGGTCAGGAAGGTTGTTTTGATGATTTCTAGATCAAATTTGAATATGGGTCATCTTCGGTCAAAAACTAGGTCACAGGAGCTACTGTTATAATATTGTAAAAATATTGTTAACACTCTAGTGGCTGCAGTTTTGATCCAAATATTCTGGAAATTTGTCAGGAAGGTTGTTTTTATGACTTCTAGGTCAAGTTCAAATATGGGTCGTCTCAGGTAAAAAAACTAGGTCACACTGCCCAAAAATGGAAAAACCTTTTCAACACTCTATAGGTCACATTTTTGACTCAATTGTTATCAAACTTAGCCAGGATGCTTGTCTAAGACATTGCATTGATGCGGTTGATGGGTCAGAGGAGCGATCTAGGGCCATGATGGCCCTCTTGTTATATATTTTAAAGCTGAATAAAATGGCTAGTAATTATGATTACTGCATCATGATTTAATGTAGCCAATTTCTCAAAGAATTCAGAAGGTATCAACAAGAATCTTGGAGTACTTGATAGTGATACCAGGATGTAGTTGTGAGACTAGGGGCATTATTCTGAAAGACAAATTTTAGGAGTTATGTTCCCTTTTAACTCAAAATTGCTTTTTATTTAGAATGCATGGGTGAAAGTTGGAAATTTTGAAAATCCTGAATTAAGCTTTACATAAGGAAATAGAAGGCTTTCAGGGAGACTGAAAATCCTGAACTTAAGAAATAATTCTAAAAAATTCACCCATGAGAATGATTTTAAACCTATAAATGGCATCAATATTAAACACAGAATACTTGTTTATCATGACAAGATATTAGACCAGGGATATTATTCTGAGAAACTATTATTGGTGTTAATGCCCATTTTAAACAAGAAGTTTTGTCAAATTTGCCTATATTAAGTAGGCAAATTTCAGAACTATTAAACATAAAACTTTGACACTTGATTTTCATGACAAAGAACAGTTGTTACAGTTGTTAAACAAGATCTTCTATCTTGAAACCAATATTTTTAGGACTCTGCCCCTTTTTAACTAAGAATATTTATGAAAATTTGTTATCAAATAACAGAGAAGCATTGACACCATGTGTTATGCTCTTGTTTAAGTATATCCAGTGACAAGGAGGGATCTTAAGTTTGTCAAAATAACTTTAATCATTAAAATGAATCTTGAATTTTATAGATTCTTACATGTATCGAAAATACAGAAATCAATTTACATATTGTTTGTATCTGATGCATGGAGAGACATCTTAGTTGTTTATTAATCAGTAAATCTAAAAAAGTTCCAAAGTTACTGTTACATCTTTAGTGTGACATGAAATAAAAGAAGAATAAAGGATGGATAAAGGGCCCTGATTAATTATATTGAATTGTCAATGATTGAATTGCAAGTAGAAAGACCTTCTTGCTGTTTTAATATTATTTACCACATTTTTATGCCTCCACAAAGTGGGAAGCATATAGTGTTGCACTCTTCCGTCCGTATGTCTGTCTGTACATCCCGAAATCTTGTGAACACAACTCCTCTTAAACCGGATGGCAGATTTTGCTTAAACTTCCAGGAATGAACAACCTTAATGCGTAGATGGTAGTAAAGGAAGGAATTTAAACCGGGAGATTTTGCTTAAACTTCCAGGGATGAACAACCTTAACGTGTAGATGGTAGTAAAGGAAGGACTTTTTGCTGCGACCAAATTTAACAGAATTATGGCCCTTTATTTCATGCTTTCCAGTGTTTTACTGTAATATATCAGATAATTATATTCTGATAAACCACTAGTGAAATTTATAAAATATAATTTTCACTGTAGCCGGACTATATCTGAATGCGAATGAAAAGAATATCATAACTAACTGAAATAACTGGCAAAAATAAATGCCGTCATACATAAAGTTTGCTTCTTTAGGAAAAGAAAGTTGATGTTGTCATACATCATGTTAAAAATTTAACAGAACTAGAGAAATTTAACATCACTATATTTCAATGCGATGTTATACAGCAAAATCAGTAAAAAGTACTTAAAATCATTTTTTTTTTACATATAAGAATGAAATATATTTCATTCATGAACACCAGCTTTTCTATTTTCAAGAGTGGCGTAGCCACACATGAACATATTGCATCTGGTGTTCACTCAGTGAAATATATTTCAATCTTACATGCAAAACAAACAAATATCCTCTATGAATTCATATATTTTATGAAATATTTGTTTCAAAATTTTGCTATTGGCATTGTAGGAAGGCCATGTTGGTGTTTTAAAACTGTTGTTGGACTTTGGTGTTAACAGCAATGTCATTGATGCTAAGGGAAGAACAGGTAAGTTGCTCTTGTCAAACCTGTTTGTAAAAGAGAAAATAGATCAAAATTGTCACCTTTGTGCAATAATAGGTTAACTCCTATTAAATTATATAAGGAGTTAATCTTTTACTGCACTAAGGTGACAAAATGTTGAAAAATTTCATGTCATCTGGCACTGTAATTGATTCAATCATAAATTGGGATTGTTGCTTTATGTGAAAGGGTATTGGTGGCCTAGTGGTTAAAATAAATCCTTCTCAGCCCAAAGGTTTAAGGACTGAGCACAACTGGTTTCACTACCAATGCCTTAAGAGTATGTGCTTGTCAACCTAGAGGTCTTTGGTTTAAGACCAACTGTGCTCTCCACCATTTTTAGCTCACCTGTCACAAAGTGACATGGTGAGCTTTTGTGATCGCTTTTCGTCCGGTGTCCGTAAACTTTTACTTTAAATGGCATCTCCTCATAAACCACTAGGCCAATTTCATCCAAACTTCACAGGAATGTTCTTTTGGTGGTCACCTTTGAAAATTGTTCAAAGAATTTAATTCCATGCAGAACTCTGGTTGCCATGGCAACCAAAAGAAAAACTTTAAATATCTTCTTCTAAAAAACCCAAAGAGCTAGAGCTTAGATATTTGGCATGAAACATTTTCTAATGGGTGTCTACCAAGTTTGTTCAAATAAAAGCCCTGGGGTCAAAATTGGCCCCGCCCCAGGGGGTCATTGATTTTCCTTATATGCATTAGTAAAAACTTAAAAAATCTTCTTTTAAAGAACCCAAAGAGCTAGAGCTAAGATATTTTGCATGAAACATGTTCTAATGGATGTCTACCAAGTTTGTTCAAATAAGAGCCCTGGGGACAAAATTGGCCCCGCCCCAGGGGTCATTGATTTTTCTTATATGTGTATAGCAAAAAACTTAAAAAATCTTCTTTGAAAAAACTCAAATAGCTTGAGTTTAGATATTAAGCACGAAGTATCTTCTATTGAGTGTCTACAAAGTTTGTTCAAAGAAAAGCCCTGGGGACAAAATTGGCCCCGCCCCGGGGGACATTGATTTTCCTTATATGTGTATAGCAAAAACTTAAAAATCTTCTTTGAAAAAACCCGAATAGCTAGAGTTAAGATATTAAGCATGAAACATTTTCTAGTAAGTGTCTACAAAGATTGTTCAAATAAAAGCCCTGGGGTCAAAACTGGCCCTGCCCCAGGTGTGTCATTGTTTTTAACTATATGTGTAAAGAAAAAACTTGAAAAAAATCTTCTTTTAAAAAACCCAACGAGCTAGACCTTAGATGTTTAGCATTAAACATCTTCTAATGGGTGTCTACCAAGTTTGTTCAAATAAAAGCCCTTGGGGTTTAAACTGGCCCCGCCCCATGGGCCTATATACAGGTGAGCGACTTCAGGGCCATCATTGCCCTCTTGTTTCCTCATGTTACTAGTACTAGACTTACATGTCAGGTCACTGACACATGTCCTTTAACATGAATTGTCATGAAGTTATTCTCAATTGTTAAATTTATGATTTTATTTGTATGCCCTTTGTTTAATCTGGCAATCACTGAGAATAGTAAAGCATGGTGTCTGTTCATTCAGAACCTTCAAAACTTAGACACAATCTGAACACAAGCTTCATTTAAACATATTTGGTATTACTTTAACCCCAACATGATCTTGACTTCCAAGGTCATATTTTCTAACTCTTCACCATGACTTCTTGAGTTTTGTTTGGTATGACTACAAATTTTACTATTTTCTTTGACAAATTTATATGCAATAACATCACTTTTTATTTACAGCTCTTCAT